TTGCAGGCATCTTGATCCCCCACAGATGGCAGAAGCACTGGCCAGTGGTATGGGTGGCACTGTGTCCCCACAAAATTCATATTTTGAAGCTTTAACCCAGTACTTCCAAAGGTGACTCTATTTGGAGACAGGGTCTTGAAAGAGGTGGTTAAGGTAAAATGTGGGTGGTCCTAAACCAGTGTGGTTGGCGACACGATAAGAAAAGGGACATTTAGACACACAAGAGGAGACACGAGGGGAGTGGGTGCACAGCGGAGAGACCCCGTGAAAACGCAAGGAGAAGGTGACTGTCTGTGAGCCAAGGAGAGAAGCGCCAGAAGAAACCAAACCCCTGGGACCCCTTGGCCTTGGACTTCAGAACCGTGAGAAAAGACTTTCTGTCGTTTGAACCGCCCAGCCTGTCGTGTTTTGCCACGGCAGCCCCAGCAGCCTCATACCTGCCGTGTGTCGAAGTGACCCCAGAGAGTAGTTGCACACAGGCAGTGGCCTGGTCTGCTTGGGCCGCTCTAACAAAATGCCTCGGACTGGCAATAACAACAGGAACTTAGCGCTCTCCGTTCTGGAGTTTGGGAGTCCAAACCCAGGGCGTGAGCACAGTCAGGTTGTGGTCACGGCCTTCTTTGGGGTGGCGGACCGCTGAGTCTCTGCGGCATCCCCCCATGGTGGGAGGGGCGAGCAAGCTCCCAGGCACCCCCCTCCAAGGGGCACCAATCCCATTCACGAGGGCTCCACCCTCAAGACCCACCCACCTCCCGCACACCCCACCTCCCAATGCTGTCACCTTGGGATTTCAACATAGGAGTTTCGGGGGCCACAAACATTCAGACCATAGCAGGGAGCAGTTGCCTTATCGCATTTGCTTGGTTCATATCACAGGGGGGGAAGGTCAGAGAACTGACTGGAAGAAAATCTGGACGGTGAGAGTGGAGAGAGAAAATTATAGGATGTTTTGTTTGTTCAGGTTGGTGAATGTAGTGAAGGGAGAGGGTAAGACTACTTAAAACAATTTTAAAGTCTTATAGCAGTTGTGCTTAACTGCTTTAAAGAAAGTCTGGGCAAACTTGATTTTCCAATTCCAAGCTTCTTTAGAAATATGGTTAGCAGAAGTACTAATGCTGCCCAATTGTTGTTTACTGAATAAAAATTCAATGTGAATTAAGGTTACAGTATTGTTTTTCCAAATAAAAAAAAAAAGCTGATACTAAGAAATGGGAAAGTTCCTAAGTACCCATCAGCAGCCGAGTGGCTAAAAAACTGTGGGACCTTTACACGGTGGAGTGCTACACAGCAGTAAAAAAGACGGAACTCCTACCCTCCGTGGCAGCAGAGAAAGACCTGGAGAATGTTATGCTGATTGAAATAAGCCAGTGAGTGAAAGACAAAGACTGCATGATCTCACTCGTATGTTAAGTCCAATGAACAAAATTAACTAACAAACAAGACAGAAACAGAAACATGGCTATAGGGAACAGACTGACAGCTCTCAGAGGGGCTGGGGTGGAGGGACTGGATGAAAGGTGGGGAAGGAATTAGCCAAAGGACATTCGTGCTGACCTACGGACATGGACAATGATTCGGGGATTGACTGAGGGCGGGGAGGGCGGGGGCTGGGGGTAGGAGGTGGGCAAAGGGGGGAAAAAGCGGGGGCAACTGTAATAGCAAAAACAATAAAAAAGATTTGGGAAATGGTTTATTTCAGCTGAGGGGGGAAGGAAATCAGTCACACAGCGATACTGAGAGGGTTGCTGCGTGACGGTAATCTTTCTGTCGTTTTATTTCCCCCGAAGGAGTGAAAGCACACTGAAACACCGTAGGAGAGGCAGTCAGGGTCCTGGGGACTAGCAGAAGGTGGTTTTAGGTAACGTTCCCTGGTAAAGTGTCACCCATTTGGAAGGTCAGGATCCTTCAGTTCTAAGTGAAACACACCTCAGGGCGTCAATGCTGAGGCCACTGGGGAAAGGGATATGATGGAATTAGAAGTCGCCCCCAAAGATGAGATGCCAAGAAGTACGGAGTTAACTTTATTCCTTGAGTCTAAGGAGGCTTGACCCCTTGCATGACATTAACTTTATTTATTTATTGTATTTAGTTTTTCATGATATTTTGTTGATTATGCTAGGACAGTTGTCCTGATTATCCCCCTTTGCCCCCCTCCTCCCAGCACCCCCCACTCCCTCAGGCCATCCACACACCGTTGTTCAGGTCCAGAGTCAGGCAATTAAGTTCTTTAGCTAATCCATTTCCTATACTGCACTGTACTTCCTCGTGGCTCTCCTGTAACTACCTATTTGTGCTTCTTAATCCCCTCCCCTCTCCACCCATTGCCCCACACCCCCTCCCATCTGGCAACCATCAAAAGGCTCCCGGTATCCATGATTCTGTCTCCGTTCTTGTTTGCTTAGTTCATTTTTCAGAATCAATTGTTGATAGATATGTATTTATTGCCATTTTATTGTTCATAGTTTTGATCTTCTTTTTCTTAAATAAGTTCTCCCAACATTTCATATAATAATGATTTGGTGATGAGGAACTTTAGCTTCTTTTTGTCTGGGAAGCTCTTTATCTGCCCTTCAATTCTAAATGAGAGCTTTGCTGGGGAGAGCAATCTTTGCTGTAGACCTGCTTTTCATGACTTGGAATATTTCTTGCCAATCCCTTCTAGCCTACAAAATTTCTTTTGAGAAATCAGCCGACAGTCTTAAGGGAACTCCCCTGTAGGGCACTAACTGCTTTTCCCTTGCTGCTTTTAAGACCCTGTCCTTGTATTTAACCTTTGGCATTTTAATTATGATGTGTCTTGGCATGGGCCTTTTTGCATCCATCTTGTTTAGGATTCTTTGTGCTTCCTGGGCTTGCATGTCTATTTCCTTCACCAGATTAGGGAAGTTTTCTTTCATTATTTTTTTAAAATAGATTCCAATTTCTTGTTCTTTCTCTTCTCCTTCTGGCACCCCTAGGATGTAAATGTCAGACCTGTTGAAGTTGTCCCAGAGACTGCTTACACTATCCTCATTTTTTTTGGATTCTTTTTTCTTCTTGTTGTTCTGATTGGTTGTTTTTGCTTCCTTATGTTCCAAATCATTGATTTGATTCTCGGCTTCACGCATTCTACTGTTATTTCCCTATACATTGTTTTTTAATTAGTGAGTCCTTCATTTCTGACTGGATGTTTTTTATGCTGTTGAAGTCCTCACTAAGGTCCTTGAGCATCTTTGTAAACAATGTTTTGAACTCTGCATCTGATGGATTGCTTGTATCTATTTTGTTTAGTTCTTTTTCTGGAGTTTTAATCTATTCATTCATTTGGGCCATAATTTTTTGTCTCCTCACTTTGGCAGCTTTCCTGTGTTTGTTTCTATGTATTAGATACAGCTGCTATGACTCCGTTTCTTGGTAGTGTGGCCTAATGTAGCAGGTGTTCTGTAGGGTCCAGTGACACAGCCTCCGCTGTCACCCAAGCTGGGTACCCGAGGTGCACCCAGTGTGAGGGCTGAGTACCTCAACTACAAGTACTCTTGTAGTTGAGCCTTGGTTGCTGTTGGCAAGTTGATGGGAGGGATTTACCCAGGCCAGTCAGCTGCAAGGACTGGCTGTGACCACTGACCACCAACCTCCATCCTCCGTGGAGGATCAGCTGTGCAGGGGTGGGGTGGTGGTGCTCTGACATGGTCTATAGCCGTCCATTGGGTGTGCAGGCCCTGGAGTTTCCTGGGAGGTGCAGGCCAAGGTCAGCCCCCACCTGTGTTCAGCTGGGGCTTCCCTGCCTGAGCTATAGAGCAATCTGAGATGGCTGCTCCTTGTGCTGGGCTCGGAGATTCCCAGGCAAAGCCAAGCTGTGAATCTAGGCTGGCTGCTGCTCGTGCTGGGCCTGAGGCCACTTAGCAAGAGGTATGTGAGCTGGAGGCTCACTTAGGCTGGCTGTTGCTTGTTTGAGAGGATTTAGAACATTGTGCATCATGAGCCAAGACCACCCATTCACATGGGAAAACAACTTGGGTGGGCTGGTAAATTGGGTGGGATGGAGTCTCAGGGGATCCCTAGGGTGGGGCAATGTTAGCCAGGTTGATGGAGTCTCAGATAAAGCACCCACCTGCAGGCTCTGTGGAGGGAAGGTTCAGAAAAGGGACAGTGGCCTCTGCCCCCCTTTCTGTCTGGCAGAAACCTGTCCCCTAGTTCTTGCCCTGGTGCCAGGCTCTTCAGTTCCTCCCTGTATGCCTCTGGTGCCTTTCAAGCTGCCGCCCTGGTGCTGGAGCTCAGAGGGAGTGGGTCTGAGTAAGTTTGTGTGTGGGTTCTTTAAGAAGAACTGCTTCTTTAAGAAGAGGTTTCTTCCTCTGACTCAATTTCTGCTGTTTTTTCCAGCTAGAAGTCACGAGGATTTCTCTTCCTGGCACTGGAACACTGGGTTGGGGGCCTGGTATGGGACTGGGACTCCTCCCTGCCAAGGTATCCCTTCCGAATTTTTGTCCATCCCATGTGGGGGCAGAACCAGCCTGTTCCATGTCTCCACCCCTCCTACCAGTCTGGATGGATGTGGATTCTTTAATTCTGTAGTTGTCAGACTTCCATTCGGCTCGATTTCTGATGGTGCTGAGTGATGGTTGTTCCATAGTTTAGTTGTGATTTTGACAAGCTGTGCGAGGAGGCGAGCTGTGTGTGCCTACTCCGCCATCTTGACCAGAAGTCCAACAACAAACTTTGAAAACTTCGGTAAGGTCCTGTGTGCTAGATTCTGTTTGTGAAGTTCTCATTTTTTTTTAAAGAGGAACTTTATGGGGAGATGCTTTGGACCTATGTAATCTCTCATTCCTTGTCTGACTTCGACCCACTGGATTTAGCGAACATTGACATTTCTCGTCTGGTGATTGCTGAACGGTGATTTTGCTCATTCCATCATTCCTTCCGAATTAATTGGCTGCATTCTACTCCGAGGGCTATCCCTTCTCCCCATTTATTTATTCATTAAAAAAATATCAGTGTTAACTCAAGGATTATACTTTATTACATGGGTTATATTCTCCTATTACAATTTATTTTAATGCTCAAATTTTCCCAGATTTGGCCCGCAGAAGCCCCTTCAAGATGACTGCTTTGTCTTGTTGAAATGTTTCCATAATTCCTTGAACATCTTCATACTTTCTGGCACAGTAAGATGTTCCAGGCCCACTTATATGGTAGTTAAAATACATGTATATTTATTTATATTGCTATGTATATAGAAAACCTTGAATTCACATCAATACCTCTAATTCCAATCCAATCACAAGGCTTCTTGCTTTGCTCACCGCTCTGTCACCAACAGTGAGAAATCCGGCTCGTGTTGTCCTCAGCACAGTTTTCCTGTGTGTCGTCCCCCTCGACACACCCAGCCACCTGACCTTCAGGCTGCCCTACCCTCCTTGTTTGCGCTCTGACCCCCACATGACCTGACTTCCTAGCTGAACACGGGGGCGGCTATCATCTCCTATGTAGATAGAAAAGCAGGGAGAACAAATTAGTAGAGAGAGATACACCAAAAAATCAAAGGACACAGAGTATCCTTCGGGTTCCTGGAAGCTTTCCAAGGCTTCATTCTAGTCCTTTGCTAAGAGGTGGCTGTGTTCCCGTTCCTGGCTTTGTGAGAAACTCCTACATCCTGATGATGAATTCTTCCCTTTTGGCTAAGTTACTTCAGGTTGGTTTCTGTTCCTTGTAAACAGAGTTATAAACAAGGGTCTATTTATATCCTGGTGTGTGCTACAAAAACTGAAAAAGAAAAAAGAACAAATTGTGGAATATAATCAGGGCAAAGGGAAATTAAAAATTAGCCCGCAGAAAATGCACACCACATGGTACTGTGCTATTGCTTCATATGAGCTAAAATATTGGCGCTAAGATCTTCAGTGATCTAAACTAAGTGTGAAGTGCTGTCCCTTAGAAGATTTTGTCTCCAGATTTAAAACAAACCAGCAACGGGAGGATGAACAGATACAACATCTGAGCAAAAGAGCCTAGAAGTGAACCCTTTAACAAATGGCCAATAAATGGCAAACTTTGTAGCCATCTGGAAAAAATATTACTTTGGACCCACACCTCACCCCATACGCTGAACCAGTCCCCAATGCATCGACGTTTAATTGCAAGAGACTGGAACTCTAAATGTCCATCGGCACAATATTGGTAAATAAATGATGGCATATCCCTGCAATAAAAAGTTATGGGGATTGAAAACATAGTGAGGAGCTCTGTGTATATTGCAATAGACATCTTTTTGATATATTAGGTAATAAAGAGCAAGATGTAATCATTGCGTATGGCATATGACCATTTTTGTAAGTCAGGGAATGTCTTGGCTTCTATAGGCATAAAGAATTCTCTAGAACAATGAGCAAAAAATAGTGGTTACATGTCTGGGCATGGGGATAGGTGTGGGGGAGAAATCCTTTTTATGTTTTCTGATGAATGAACCGTGTGTAAATATTTATTGAAAAGTTTTTAAAAATTGATGAAATCAGAGGAGCCCAGCTAGTTCTGACACATTGAGAGGACACAGGAGCGGCTGAAAGTCTTACCTGCCCACAAATTCCCACTGCAGGGGGCCCCCAGCGGCCATCCCCACCCTGAGACACCATCCTTCTCGCGAAGTTTTCCCTCCCCGAAGCCTTTCCGGATGTTACTGGGGAGGCCTATTGCCCACGGTGCTTGTTGTAGAAGAAATGTCCCTCTTAGGGAAGTCTGCCAAGAGCATCTGACTATTTCCTCATTTTACCCACCAACATTCCACGTGTAGGTGCATTTACAATAAGTATGTGATCAAATCTGAGCCCTAGAGGTGGCTGGCGCACACCAGCTTTCACAGCCAGAATTCCTGGGTTCACGTCGCAGTTGTCGACTTATTAGCTGTTTACTTGCTGGAGGTTATTCATTTTGTTCATCTTGACGGACGGGGGTGGGGGGCATCAAAGCTCCTGCCCCCAGGGTCCAGGTAAGGGTCACAGTGTCCATGTAAGGACCACAGGCTGATGGCTGTCTGTCCAATAGCAATATAATGCGGGCTGTAGGAAGCATTACAATTCTTCTAGCACTCACATTTTAAAGACACAAATGAAACTAACGTTGATTCCCATATGTGCAAAATATTACCACTTTAACATGTAATCAATATAAAATTATTAGTGAGATGTTTTACATTATTTGTTGGTACAGAACACATACATCTGAGTTCCGACCCGCGTGTCTCAATTGGGACTCGCTGTATCTTCAGTGCTCCGTGGGCCTCTGTGTTGAGCCTTGCTGGCCTAGCCAGGGTGCAGCACATAGTAGGTGCTAATTCTTGTGAGCAGAGATGCAACTGCTGTTATCACCCCTCGCTTGGAGTAAACCTGTGGGGGTAGTCCTCTGGGTGAGATGCCTGCATTTTGGGATAAATTAATAAGGTTTACTTTAAGCCAACTCAGTTGGCCTCCGTTATTTTAATTCACAGCTGCAAGGTGTGGTACCGGTCACAGCCTCTGCAAATGAACAATTTACGCAAGACGGGAAGCCACTGTCCCCATCTCGGTTCTGTGGCTGTCCCAGTTCTGGGGTTAGGGGTGGGAGGTGGGGGTCTGCTGTCCCCCCGCATGCGTTGGTCCCTGCACCACTCTAGCGGGGGTAAGGCAGGAGAGTGGGGAAGTCTTTTAAAAATGGGAGGCAAGCCGAGCCCCCGGAGAACAATTACGGCTGTGGGGCAAGGCCACGTTCAGGGAGCGGTGGGTGCCAGGAAGGGTAACGAGGGGCACGGACGAATCCCGAGAGCCCGCAGACCCGGCCAGGCTGGGCGAGCGCCCGCAAGCTCGGCGTGCGGGCCCACGAAGGCCGCACCCACGCGGGGCCGCGGCGGCGGCGGAACGCCGGGCCGGCCGGGCCGCAAACGCCGCCTCAGCCCCCGCGGCCGCCGTGTCCCGGCTGCTGAGTGGCCGAGGGGCCGGGATTAACCTTTCACCGCGGCGCCCCGCCCAATCACAGGCCCGCTCTCAGCCGGCGCGCGGCAAGCGCGGCGCGGGGGGGCGCGGGCGCCAGTGGGATTCTCCAAGCGGCCGTGCGCCGTCGCCGCGGGCTGTGCGCGGGCTTCGGGCGAGCCGGGCGCTGCGCAGTCTCCGCAGGCGCCGGCGGGAGGGGTCGAGGCGGAGGCGCGGCGCGGCGCAGGCTGCTCCAGGCCCAGGTGAATGGAGTAACCTGACAGCGGGGACCAGGCGACGGCGAGCGGGAGGAAATGGCGGCGGCGGCGGCGCCGGGCGGCACCGAGAGGCCTGGGCTGTGACGCACGCGCCGGAGCGGGGTCCGATGGTTCTCGAAGGCCCGCGGCGCCCCGTGCTGCAGGTGAGGCGGGCTCCAGCTGAGCCGCTTTGTGTCCGGGGCGGGGAGCGGCTCCGCCCGGCCCGGCGCGCGCCTCCGCTCCCGGCCCGCGTGGGCGCCGGGGCCCTGGGACCGCGCTCCGGCCTGGCCCGCGGGGCGGAGACGGCGAGGGGTAGATGGTGCGGCCTCGCCTGGTCTCGGGCGGCGCGGCCTGCGGGGCGGGCGCCCACCCGCCGGGCTCTGCGCCTGCCCCGACCCTGGCGCGCCTCCTGAGTCCCCGCTTTGGAGTCACTTTGTGCGGTCGCCGCGGCCCTGGATCGGGACGCGGGCGCCTCCGCACGTGGAGCGGAGCGTGTCCTCAGCGCTCTTCCCGGCGGGTGGAGAGCAGGGGTTTGACAGGTCCGGTTACGCGCATGGAGTGGTGCGGCCACGGCAGCGGCGTCTCGGGAGCATCCTAGGGACCTGCGGTGGCGGCGGTCACTGCTCTGGGCGTCACTGGACACCTTTGGAAGGGCCTGGAGGGAAGGAAGCCTTCGGGGCCCGCCCGGGCAGGATTGGGAGGATTGTTCGTGTTTATTGGCAGGTGACCAAGCTCTGGGTCCCAGGGGACGGGTGACCGAGGCCATCTTTCCGCCCCTCCCCTCCGATGTTTTTGTGCCAGAACTTCTGGACTTGCAGAGAAGCCTTTCTTCAGAGTCCACAAGTTTGGTGGGGAAATCAGTGTATGATTTAAGTTAGCACACCAGATTTGTGTAGATTATCTGGAAAAGCCGAGCTGCCCCGTGGCTTTGTCCGCAATACAGAGCTAACAAACCACGTAGTGTACCTTCAGTAGCCTGACGACGGGCGAAAACGGAGAGGAGTGGGGAACCCTTGCTCTGTAGTGTTGAGTCTGTGTGTGTGTGTGTGTGTGTGTGTGTGTGAGAGAGAGAGAGAGAGAGAGAGAGAGAGAGAGAGAGAAGAAAGTCATGTTGAAAAGGCACGCGTTACTGATCCACGCAAGTTGAGTGTTCTTCCCACGAGCCAGCGGGTTTTCACAACATTCATCTAATGAGAGCATCGCTTTGAAGTCTGTGCTCCTTGAGGCACTTTGTTCTCTGCGTTTTCTGGATCTTTACAATGCTGATTTCCAGTCGTCTTTGTGTTGCTGCTCTTCGAGTGCAGCGCTCTCGCTGAATGGAAAAGGGCACAAGTTAGGTGACTTGGAAATCATATGTTTTTTCAATGTGCTTTAATGAAAGGACACAGGGTAGTGGAAACATACAATAAAGACCAAATTTTAAGAAGGTCAACCAGTTTGTAAAATGTATTGATAGAAACATTAAAATTTCTAAATAAAATTACTCATCTTAACCAAGAGCTCCAAAATTTATTACAGGGTGGATGAGGGAACAGGAGCCTGGGTGAGGGGGCTGGTGACAGTAATTTTAACATCACTAATGTCTGCAGGAAGTGGGTTCTGGAATAATGAGTGTATTTCGCCAAGCGTTGCCTTTAAAACTAGATAGCTGCATGCGGTACAGATATGTTATATGTAACATGTGCCATGTATATACACACATAGCGTTATTTCAAAACTTTATTTTAAGGCATATTTTATACAACTTAGGCTGCCTGTAGATTGGAAACATGAAAGATTGCTTTTAATATGGTCACTGTAAGCATTTAAATGGTAATGTTGGTTTACAGGTTTAATCATGGCATCAAAATGCTCTTTTACAAAGAGATGGATTAGTCAAATTTAATTTGGGGAGAAAAGACTTTCCTGCAATTATTTTAGTAAGGGCTTGCTTTACTTCTGATGCTGCCGCGGCACCCTGGAAGGGTGAGGATTGTCTGCTGTGGAGCGCGCGTGGCGTGGCGTGTGCATTGTGCAGTGTGGTGGGTTTGCCGTTGCCGAGTTTTATTTTCTTGGCTATAGAAGACACGTTACTTTGCTGTGGCTCACGGTCTTCTTTGGCAGTGATTCTGCGGTGTTACGTGCTGGGCATTACGTTTGTAGTGCAGCGCGACCTTCCAGGAGGGAGGACGTCATCTGTGGCGTTGGGATAGACAGGCATCCGTCCCCTGCTGCTGTCTGCCGGGCGAGGTGCTCGCTCCGCCTGAGAAGGTAGATGTTCAGTAGACGTTCTCTCACGTGCCGCCTTACCACCCCGTGGTCATTACTCGTGGGAAGGAGAAGGGGATATGCATCAGTAAGAAAGGCCTCCTTGTCCCGTGCCAGGATGTTGCAGGTGCATCCTCATGTGGTCCTCGCTGTGATGCGAGGAAACCGAGGCTCAGATTATTGCCCAGAGCCGGGAGTCTGGCCGTGGCGGAGCAGGGCTGGCCCGGTGTGCTTCCAGGGCCCGGGCCGCCTGCTCCTTCCACTGTGTTCCGTTGCTGCTCTGCGTGGATTTCAGGGAACACTACCTGACCTGTGGGTAAGTCTCTAGTTAATGCTTGCTGAGTGAAGGAGATGCTGTCGAACCATTTATAAATGTTCAGGTGGCCTCCTCTTATTGGACTATTTCAGCTTTTTTTCTTTATTTGTGGTAAAACATACTTAACAGAATTTGTCATTTTAACTGTTTTTAAGTGTACAGGTTGGCGGCATTAAGTACACGTTGTTGCGCAACCATCACCACCGTCGGTCTCCAGAACTTTTTCATCTTCCTCCGCTGAGGCTCCGTCCCCATGGCACCAGCTCCCCTCCCCCTCCTTCCAGCCCTGCAGCCGTCCTGCTTTCCGTGTGCGCGCGGCTGCTCTCGGAACCGCACCTGAGTGGAAACATTGGGTGTTTGTTCCTTTGCAGCTGGTTTACTTCACTCAGCATAGCATCTTCAGGGCTCGTGGAAGTCGTAGCGTGCGTCAGGATTTCCTTCCTTCCCGAGGCTGAATGGTCTGGGCATGCACTGCATTTTATTCAAGCCTTCGTCCAGAGGCGGACGCCTGGGTCGCTTCTGCCTTTGGCTTTGTGAGGAATGCCGCTGCAGACACAGGTGGGCAGGTGCCTGTTTGAGCCCCTGCTTTCGTTTCTCGCGGGTATTGTTTCTTGATCTTCAGAACGCTGGACTCAGAATTTATCGCAGTGTGAGTTTTCTCAGGGTTGTTCCAGATGTTGACTTTCCTACAAACAGTTCCTCTTTGTCATAAAAGACACTAATCTCCTCGAGGCCCAGGATTGACTCATTTTTATGATTTCAGTTCCTATCAGTGTCTGGCAAATGGGTACTCAGAATAACCGGGTTTATCCTGTCCGTCCATCACGGAGCCGGGCTGTGCTCTTGGGTGCCGGAGGACAGTGCTGGCCGGGGCCGGGTCGTAAACAGTGAGCTGGAGCCAGCGGTTTACCTTCTTTGCCTTGTGCCTTGCTTTTCTGGACGTGCAAGGTTTGGTTCATCCTGAAAGCCCAGTGGAAGTCCTGTCTGCTTTATCATCTGTCTACTTCGGGAAAGGGTTCGAGACGGTCAGAACAACAGCAGGCGTCGGATAGGACTGAGAACGGTGAAGGTTGCGGGTACAGGGTGGAGGGGAGCGGAGGGGAGCAGAGGAGAAGCCAGGGCAGGGATAGCTCTGCATTTGCATGTAACTAGAGGCTTTTTTATTTATTTAAATATTAGTCAAAGCAAAAGAGGAAGCAGTGCTAATTATAGTTGGCATTGATTAATGAAAGGAAGTATACCAATTAACCAGGAGAAAGACTTTTCTCTTGTATGATGAATAAGCAGTTGTTTAAATTCTTACAAAAATGACATTAATAATACGAGGACAGAATGGTTTACAAATGGTAGAGAAACATTTTTCACATGCCATTTTAGAGAAACTAGTTAGAAGCTTTAGGCATAATAAAAAAGTTTTAGTTATACAGGTGCACGTCATCCTGGTGATTTGATTTAGTAGATTTAGTTCATTTGTCCTGCACATGATTGCCCTGAAATACCAGTTATCTGATTCAGGCTTCTGACGGGTGCGAGTGGCAGCCTGTTCACAGTGACCGCGATCCCCCCCAGTGCGGCAGTCGGGGTTCCGGGCTCTCCCTGCCGTCCTTAGGGGCGAGGGCTGGCCTGGGTCGGGGTGGGGGTGCTTGTGTGGTGGTATGTGCTCGGGGAGTGCACTCGAAGGGCGCCCTGCAGCTGATCCTCGGACAGCGTGGGGTGGAAGGGGGGCCTAGCCCCACCCAGGCGAAAAGCTGCATATAACTTTGGATTTCTTAAAAACTTGTGTGTCCCTCGCAGTCGGCACAGAATTGGCTCCTGGACCAGTCCTCCCCACCCCCATCCCCCTATGAGTGCCAGAATCCATGGGTGCTCAAGTTCCCCGTGTGTGATGGCCCTCTGCAACCACGGATCGAAAACGGTGAAGGGATTTGTTGAGTGAAAATCCGTGCATTAGTGGGTCCCTGACCCTCGTTGTGGTGTGTGTTCAAGGGTCAGCTGTGTTTTTGAGGTCTACCTGATGACACTGAAATTTTCAGTAACATAAGAAGACCTTTTTAAAATAAATTCTGAGTACAAAATGACTTTCCTCTTTATATCTAAAATCGTCGGTGAATTGTTGGTTCACCTTTAGCATGCGAGGTTGCTATACATGTTAAATAAATGACTAAGAAGTTGCCACAAGAAAGCATTGCCTGAGGATGTCTATAAGACTTAATAGAAATAAGACATGAAATACTTGAATTTTGCCCTTAATGCTTTGGCTTTTTATACTCGTAGTGACATCAAGTGTCCGTTAAGGTTTCTAGAAGAGTAAGGATGGAATAGAACAGTGCTTGGCGTACGGAAGGTGCTCAGATTTGTTTAGTGAGTAGATTAGTTTGTATTACTTTTTTAAGTACTTAGAAGCTAACACAGGTTTATGGAGAATAACATTGCTTTTATATTAAGCTTTTAAAAAGATTATTACTGTTCTGATTTCAGACAAATTATGCTGGTGGTTCATCTCCATTGGTGAGGTGCATGTAATTAGTGGCATAGAAACATTGTGGGCTGGGAGAAGTGTTAAGAACTTCATAGAAGAAAATTGATATAAAAATCGGGGAG